TACCCAGATAGTTACTAATCCACCCAGATGGTTCCTCATGTACCCAGTTAGTTACTAATCCACCCAGATGGTTCCTCATATACCCTGATAGTTACTAACAGACCCTGATGGTTCCTCATGTACCCAGATAGGTACTAATACACCCAGATAGTTCCTAATCCACTCTGATGGTTCCTCATATACTCAGATGGTTGCTCATGTACCTAGATAGTTCCGCATATACCCGGATAGTTATCAGTATACTTAGATACTTGCTATTTCAATAATGGCTATGTGCGACGAAGTATTATAAAAAAGTATAAATGAAACTTACTCGTTGAGGGTGATGTGAAAACGAGAAGAAGTAGTTGGTTTGTGACTTGTGTTTAAAAAAATATGAATATAAGTGCTTATACACAGGTGGAGCTCGACTATTTATACTATGAACCATTCGAGCGAATCCGTTCTCCATTTCTCTTTTTCTTCGTTTTTTTCTGTTTTCTTTTTTCTTTTCTGTTCTCTCGGTTTTGTGTATCATTATTATTGGTGCATTAAGAATTAAGTGATGGACCAGTTGAAAAGCAGCTTATATTTAGTATCACCGAATTCGCTTGTCCACATAACACAAGACTTCGCTGATCAATGTTGAAAAAAAGATTTTCGAGCTCAACAGATTTGAACGAGATAGTAGACGCAGTTTTTAAGACTGATTACGAATCTGACATTTATTTTCTAAAAAACACAGATTTTCATGTTGAAAACGGGGTTTCAAAGTGATCAAATATCGTATTATGATTTTTCTAACAAATAAAGTTATCAAAAACTGTTGAGATGCCTACTATTCAACGCAGTATTCCATTCTTTATGAATTGGATTATTTTGTTTTCAGTTTAATAACTAAGAACAATTTTTAAGGTTCAATATGGCTTACAACTTAACGTTTAGATTTTAAGCTCCCATGTCAATGAACTAATCTGGTCCTTTGGTAGAACGCCGATATAGACAGTGAAGATCAAGTGTTACAACTAATCAAACATTCGGGCGATGTTGACGCCGCCAAAAATTCCCTAAAAATACTGATAGCGTTACGTTTCATTTAAACATTTCTCACGCGAATAAAACTAGCTAAAAGAAAACTTGTTTCCTTTTAGAAAGCTAGTTCCAAGCTCTATACAAATAAATCGAAGAGCATTTCATTTCGACGAAACTTCGAAAAAACGAGAACTATCTCGGTGATATTGAAGAAAAAGGGTCGGTTTATGTAACCCCAACGAACAAACATAAAATCTTTTCAAAATGCCTGACTCAATACCAAAAAATGTTTTACATAGAATAAATAGAGTTCGAAAAGCTTCGCCAAACCATAATCAAAGATGAAGCAGCTGAATCTCCGCCCAAAAATTGAGCTTTGTTTGTTTCCAAAAACAACTGCCGAGGAAAAATTCTCCCAAGCCAGAAACTTATTAAAAACCTAGAAGAGCCTCTGCTAACAAACGTGTTGGTAAGAACAGTCTTATTCAACAGAGTTTCGCGCTGCTTACTGGAAACGATTCCCTATTTTGAGCAAATATTCAGTACGCATACACCTATGAATAGGGCTGAAAGATCTGGGCGAATTTGTTTTGTTTAATATTTCATTGAGATTAATTTTTTCATGGACATCGATCTGTACACAAAACGAGATTCCTTTCAACAGAGTTTCGAGCTGTTTTCTCGAAACGATTCGAAATTTGGAGCAAACATTCAACACAAATAGAGCTAAAAATGAAGCTGAATGATCTGGATGAATTTATTTTGTTTAATGTTTCTCTTAGATTATTTTTGTTCAAGACCACCGATTTATATACGCAACAAGATTCTTATTCAACAAACTTTCGCGCAGGATTCTGGAAACGATTCCCTATTTTGAGCAAACCTTC